AACCACACATATGATAATATGATAGCACCCCTTGAACACATTTTCTAGATCCTTAATTTACTTGATACTATTTTAAGATTTGGAATAATTCATTATCCTATTACAAATTACTCAGTTAAAAGTTGAAAATTGATGTAAATTTAGTTGTTTTTCAGAAATAATTTAGCAATTTAACACTCACCTACAAGCCAAAAAGATACATGCTATCAAGATATATGCTATCATGATACCTTATATCATGATACATGCCATAGAGATACATGCTATAGAGATACACGCTATCAAAGATACGCGCTATCTCTTGAGATAAAGTAGATTGAGATGATGGTCTTTTTCTTACGCAGCCGGGATCAAAGGAGATTTTCTACAGGTTGTCATCGTCCGCATAATCATCTACATCATAGCCTCTGCATCATTATCATTATCATTATTATCATTATTATTTTTATAATTTTATTAGTTGTCATTGGTGCTGTAAAATCATCGTTAACATTATCATCATCTTGGGTTATCGTCATCACCATGTCATCATCGTCATCATCATCGTCACCATCATCGTCATCATCATCGTCACCATCATCGTCATCATCATCAGCTACGTCATCGTCATCATCGTCGTCGTCATCATCATCATGGACATACACATTAGTACGCTTGGTCAAATGACTGCTCTTTATAAAATGAGAAAAGTTAAGACTTAGATTTGCTCATCCACCGCTACTACTACTACTACTACTGCAGCTTCTACTACTACTATCACTGCTACTACTACTGCTACTACTACTACTACTATTGTTACTATTGCTACTACTATTACCAGTCGACACTTGTTACTAAATGTGTCTTAATGATAGAACGATTCGGTTTTTTTCCTTATTATTATTATTATTGTTATTATTGTTATTATTATTATGTTATTATAATAATAATTATTATTATTGTTATTATTATCAATATTATTATTGTTAGTGTTCTTATTGTTATTTATATTGTAGGAGCTGGTTTGTATGAGGAATTAATTTCAAAGTGAGTATGTGTCTTTGTAATTGTCTGTTTGCATGAATTTGTAAATGTATGTGTACGTGTGTGTTTGTGTGTGTTTATGTGTGTTAGTGTGTGTGTATCATAGACAACTAAAATAATAGATACAATTATAGAACTTTATGGTTTGATTGTTTGTAGGTGTGTATTCATGAACGTATGCATGTATGTATGTATGTGGGTGTGCATGTGTGTGTTTGTGTGTGTGTGCATGTGTGTGTGCGTGCGTGCATGTGTGTATGTGTGTGTGTTCTGGAAAATCACAGTAAGAACGACACTTTTTTCCTCCCCTGGCAGACCCTGGTGATTGAATTTTTTTCCAACGTTGAATTATTTTTGCCGCCCTCGTCAGATGTCAGGCTCGGCTTGCTCGATATCAGCAATTCTTGTTGTGAAAGTTTTTTGGATTTGTCGACGCTGACGCAAGAAGCGTCGCCACATCGCTTGCTGTTGCAGCAGCAGCTGCGTGTTTGTTGCATTTCGTAATCGTTCTCACAGACTTCGCAGTCTCCATCTTGCGTCAGTTGATCTTGCGCTGGATTTTTCCTGAGACTTCTGTTGCATTGTTGCTGTTGCAGCTGCTGCAGCTGCTGTTCGCAACAGCTATTTATTTTCTTATTGCCAGTCGTTGCTTGGTCGATCATGTGCACTGATGAGTTGGAAGCAGCTTTGTTTGGATGGCGGTTGCAGTTGCTGGTTGCAGAGGTTCCGTGGTTTTTGAGGATGGATCTTTTGATTTGTTGTGCCGTCTGTTTATTGTTGCATGCATCTTGTTGCTGCGACTGTTGTTGTTT